ATTTATTTAATATCTAATTAGATAATAATAATGACATCGAAACCATAGATTATTAATTTTGGACAAGATAAAGGCCGGCCAAAATTATGAAGCTAAATAATTAATCCTTTTTTGCGAGCTGCAGAATATTGATGTGGAATTTGGATCAATGCAGGAGGCTTTGTTATAATTTCGATAGGAATTTGAGAACACGGATGACAGCAACTCACCGGAGCGGGACTTTTTTTGAGACCGGAAGGAGTTGGCTTTTTGCTAAAAGGAAAAAATGTTCAAGGAATGTTAGTTTATTGTCCGCTATTACTGTTAGTCCTCGCTTTATCTAAAATTCGGATACTTTGTACGTCGGATATTTTCTGGGTATTCTGGTATTGTCGAAAACGTGACTTTTGCCGCAGATGTATCAAAAGAGGATCCAAAATTTGGGGGTGCTTGCCGATCTATCAAAAACGGAACCACTGGTGTATCAAAAACGAATCTTAACATTTCGTCATCTAATACGCGTCTCATGTATATTCCATCTCTTGCAAACGACCATCACTAACCATTACTAAGAAATTTCACTCATGTCTACATCTAAAACGGTATGAAGGTTAATGCAAGTAAACTTCTTTTTTCGCAATCCTGGCCTTTTACCTTTATTCATTCCAATGAATATTTCGGACGAAAAGAGTCCGATTGGGATATTGTCAGATTCCTCGATGAATGTATCAACATAGAATCTTATAGACAGAAAATAGAACGCTACTTATCATCTCTCGAGTTGATAGCAATGGTCAAAGGCATAAAAAAGCACCGGTACTTCTCTCTGTAGAGTTTTTACTCGAACAAATAAGTGGCGTGGTAGGACTTTTATTTTGTGCAACATTTCTTCTGCATGTGGGGATATTGGATTGGTTGCAATTTGCACTAACTTTTGTTCTAATATATTTTTCCTCGCTATTCCGTAATGACTTTATCTCGCGATCGATATTGGATCACTCTGCATTAGCTAAAACGTACATCAGCAATAGATGATCGTGTGAAGGAAGGTATCTCTATCAACTCTGGTCTCGGCCCTTGGTGATCCCAACAAAGCGAAACATACCACTCATATCCTATATCGGGATTCCAAACTCACTCAACTTTTGCAAGACTCTCTCGGTTGCAATGCTCAAACGCTCATGATTGCTTGTGTCTCCCCGGCAGAGTATAAACACATTAAAATATGCCAATCGAGCACGACACATCAAGAATAAAGCGCCGTAGTCAACCAGGAAGAATCCGGATGGAACATTGACTAATGGATATGATCACCGCAGCATTATAGAAGATCGTCGACCCTTTGAGTTTTGTTACTAACGGTGATAAAACGAAAAAAGATTCGCTAATCTACGGTTTTCATATCAAGAGTTAACGCAGAAACACGCAAAGGTGGCCGCAAACACCAAGACAACGACTGATTATGCCGACAATGCAACTCCTTCTCCGCCGGGAACAGCAAACCAGGCCACCAAAATATCTCAGTTCTATAAAGGAAGAAGATGATGCAAAACTTTTTGATCGTCAGACATCAGACTCGTTCCAAGAAGCTGTGGAGCCTGTAATTGAAGAATACGAAAAATCAATCTGCTCTCGAGTCTCAGCTTTCCCTTACTCGTGCTGAATTGAATCATTCAGAAACTAGCGCAAGTGAAAAGGAAACTAGACTGAACAGTTAATCGAAGAAAACGACACTCTTACGAAACAAGGTTACCAAATTGGGCGAAAGGGAGCAGACCGATGAAATGTACATTAAAGATCTGGAACGTAAATTGGAATCCCATGCAGATGAACAAAAGAAAGACCAGAATACAATTACGGATTTGCGAGCATAGATTCAACAGCTAAAAACTACTAGCACAAACAGTGAGATTTATATTCATGACTTGGAGTTTAAATTGTCAAGAAGCGAAGATGCCAAAAAATAGCTTGCGCAAACCCATCGAGAAGTTGAAAGAGATTGCAACAAAGAGAAACTGATATCCAAAAATTGGAAGCGAAACTCAAGGCCGCAGAAGCTCAGAGAATGAGGACATTGTAAAACTAGGGCGCGAACTGGGCAGCCGCAATTAGGCGCATTTCTCAACCAGAAAGCAAAGTAGAAGAACTCGTAAGCGAACGCGACAGATTCCGCAACGCAACGTCTAGGCCATTCAGTATATCCAACGCGCCGACTGACAAGGGATATAGATAAACGTAAATCGTGTGCAGGTAGCTGGTATGGTGACGCTGTTTTGACTATGAGAGTTGGAAATAAGGATGTTCAAATATCGTTTGGAGAAGTAATTGAGAACGCATTTAGACAAGATAACAAAAAGTTGAACGATGACCGGAAGAAAATACTCAGGTGAAAGCGTAACTTCAGTATAACTTTAATTTTTCTATTTTATTGTAAAAGTTTTTAACAAAATATTCGATTTATTGCCACGCGATTAGCCCTTACAGATTTTTGGGAACTATTGCCCGAAAATGTGCCAGGTGTCGAAGAGTTGTAAATTTTCGGATTACTTATACTTGTGAACTGTACGTAATAATTCGGCTAATACGGCATATTGATTTCTTATGTAATGTTTATTAAGCTCAATGTGTTTTCAATAGTACAGAAAAGAATTCTTTATGTATTCAATGCATTACGTGGACGGAATTTATTTCATTGATCAATACGATGGATTCACAATTCCCGATACACCATTACAGCTATCTGATATCGCTCGCATAATCAAGTTTAAGGTATTGAAAGAGTTTTATTCATTATCATTATTGTTATAGTTAAGAGGCTTCGCCTCTCATGATCATAGACTGATGACAGTTGCCTTTCGTTCTCGTTGCGTGACTATTTTTGATTGATGCATCTAATAATAATTGCTACTATTATTCATTATACATTTAGATTTTCTTGAAACGACTTTACGTAGTTTTCGAGAGAAGGTTTATACGTGGTAAATAGAATAGATGAAATTGAATTGATTAGAATAGCAGGACTACGTACGGGCGATCTCAATTTCGTTTCTCAGAGAAGAATGTCTCGCGTGAATGTATAAAACGCAAATTGACATTTCAACGTTATAACGTGAGTTTGGGTATCAAATAATGCAATCTGTAAATGATTGGAGTACTAAATGCGGAATAAATGGGTTTGAAAGTGATAATAAGTGAATCGTGAAAGTTGAAGTTTATTTGATTGCGTTGTTAGTAATCTTTGAAAAGCAATTAACGGCTATTTTGTTCTATAATGAATGGAAGCGCATATAATTTTCACAACTGGCACAACTGTTTATCATTATGTACAAAACTTCTGTTACGAAACATCTTTGTGTAAATTGTCCGTCAAAATATAAAATTCTCTATATAGTAGAATTTTTGATCGCTTACATTATTCTTTCCCCTGAGAGTTGCCGGGATGGTGGTGAGAGAAATAACACGCAAGTTAAATTCTTCGAACTCTTTTTCAAATTCGCTTTCTGTATTAAGTATATTTGTAAGCTTGGAAGACTTCCGGTATAATAAAGTGTATACTGTTGACTTTGGTTTACATCAATTCGCCGTTTGTGAGAGATTAAAGATCGCATATGATCATTTTGTCGAAGTGATATCACCCAGCATATAAACGTCATTTCTCCTACCAAATTGTTAGAAGTTATGTTAAGATTCCAATAAATAGTCGATTTGTAATTGCGGTTGATTTTCCAAAGTACCTATACCATGCATATTATGTGGGTAGAGCTTTGTGGAAGGGATCTGTCATTATAACATGTACTGTATCTTGGTTGATATCTGAAGATCATGTTACAAGAAATTTACTTAAATCAGCGTAATATCCGGTTGCGGCGTCTATGATCCGATATCTTGCGATACTGCTTTTGCTGTTAATGAGCCTCTCCATAATCGTAGCTTTTGAAGTCTGTGATACACAAAAGCATTTTGAATAATGAACAGTAATTAAGTGTAAAAAGACAAACTTTTCAGACCTCATCTGGTGGTAGTTCTTGTGAAAGCGGGAGTGGGGTCCCAGCGCGAGCATGGAAATATTGATCGATTTTCGTCCGCTTTGAACCTTCGTCATCGTCCTAATTATAATAAAATTGTAATTCATTAACAACAAACGCAAATTAATAGTTCCAGTTAAAAAGCTACGCGTCGTTACCTCTTTCTGATTACTCCTCTTTGGCGCAAGCTTTACATCGAACACCCCTCCACTCAT